GTCCATTCTGGATGAAATTGAGATAACATATTTCATTTTATTTTAATTTTACTTACTGCTAATAGACAGAAACAACTTATGATTTTGTTTGATAGAGCATTGAAATCAAATGATCATCAGCTAAACACATGAGAAAAATAAATTTTTTAAACCTCCTGTATGAACAAACTTTCCATGTTTCCCCTAAATATGAAATATGTTTAATTTGTAATATTATATTTCGTATACAAAATTAATTCATTTAGTTAGCTAATGATTTTATTGTTTACTGATCATATTTGTTTCTATTTTTAACTCATTGATTTTCTTTGTTATTATGTGTTTAAAGTTAATAAGGCTTCTAAATTTTTTAATTAATAAGGCTTTTAAATTTTTAAATCAAAGTCGAAACAACTTCTTAAAATTGTAAGTCGAAACTATATATGAAATTTTGACAGCTTTGTTTTTATTTTAAACGTGTGCATTTAAATTAATAAAATAAAAATAAATTAAAAGAAATAAATGCGAAAATATAAATAAATGATTGGATAAAATAAAATAATTTCGTTGTCATATCTTTTAAACAATTTGAGTATTAATAAATTATTTAAAAATATGCAAATTTTTAGTTTAAAGAGTAAACAAGTTTTTTGACTTGTTTAAAAGGTAATTATGCCCCATCACTCGATCATGAGACTATTTATATCTGCTCCTAAGGATCAGAATTCTTTATTATTTTACTTTATTGTAAAAATGATATATTTAATACTTTCATGTGATATGCTGCAGTTTTTAATACCTAAAAAATGACTGAAATTTTCAATTAAAAAAAAATTAATTAATATTTTGAACACATATTTAAATAACTCCACGTTTTGTTTTGCTATCTCATTTTATATTATCACAGTATTTAGAGCAGACAGTTGCTTGTGAGTGTAAGGATGATTAAGTAAAAGATGCATACAAAAAAAGAAAGAAAAAAAACATGCATTTAATTTTAGTTAATGTCCTCAATATTATATTTTTAAACTTCTCGGAAAAAAGTAGTAAAAAAATAACTGTCGCAAACAAATTAATATTAAATAAGAAGAACAAAACAAAAATGATATCGAAATATGCTGAATCACTAGTGAGACAGGTGGGATGAAAGACATCGAAACCAATTTGATTGAATAGTAAAACTAGAAGGTGTTGTTTCTAAAATCTAGAAATTTATCAGGCTTTTATTTATTTATTTTTTTTGTCACAAAATTTATCAGGAACTATTTGTTAGATTTCAATATGGGTTATGTTTTTTCCTTGATTAAATATTAAACATTAACAAATATTTGTCTTTTAAAACTTTTTATTCAATAATAAAAAATAATTATTCCGTAATTGTAATTATCTAAAACTAATTGCTAATTGATAGAAAGCTTTAGTGTGCTCCATTGATATATTGAATGTTTGTTTTGGCTGGATGCCTGTGCAGGGCGGGGAGTTTGCTCTTTCACATCATAGCCACTGTACACCATCAAGAGAAAAACTGAAACTTCAAAACCGTATCGCTTTTATTCTCTCTGATGTTTAATAGACCTTTTAATAAATCCTTAAAAATATAGGCCGAAAATTTACATAAGTAATGATAATTTTTATTCTTGCTCAAAAATTTAACAAATGTACTTAAAACAATTAAAAAGAATGCAAAAATAATGAAGATCTAATGAAGATTAAAAAAACAATTTTGGTAACAAAAACAAAATACATGGTATTGAAACCATTCATTTGGTAGTTTTTCTGTTCGCATTGCAAGTTTTTCGAAAATTCTGGTTTTTAAAATTATTAATTAGTTCTTATTACCACACATTTAATAAAAATGCAAAACTAAAAAATAAAATTAACCAAATTAGTGATTATTATGCCATGCTCTAATCAGCGACTTCCAATTATTATTTAGGCTTCCCTCTACAGAACCCTAAATAATCAGTCTTCTATCGGCGGAACCCCGACATTATGATTAAAGTTTATTAAGGTAAAATTGCGAACGTTATAACCTAAAAACAGACTATTTTTTTAAAAATATATGGAGGAATGAATATTTTTCATCGTTTTATCATTAACAATCTTAAATAAGGTTTTATATCTGACAGTTAAAGTTGCAGTCCTTGTGCTATATATAGTCTAGTTTTGAATTTATTTTTGGTGTATACAGGGTGATTCTAAAAAGATGGGCAAATTTTAGGAAGTGATAGTACACACCCAAGCAAACAATTTTTATCAAAGAATGCATGGTCGAAAACAAAACGCAAAACCGCTAGAGGGCGTCAAAGTTTATGTTCTTATATGAGGCAAAAACACACAAAGAACGATGAAGTTAAGTTATAAAAGCAAATTTAATGGCATGTGATTACAATAAGTGTTCAAAACAGTGGCCGGCAGCGGCTATGCACGCAGTACAACGGCGAAGGAAAGATTGGCGAACATTCTGAAACACACCAGGCATATCACGAACTTTCCCTGCAGCAGCCGAAAGCTTGGCGACAAGTAACGCAGCGCAGTAACTCGCAACAGGAATGGAGCTTTCACTTTTGCATCAAACAACTTTCCAAATGCCCCAGCACCTTTGAGTTTTGTTTTCGACCATGCATTCTTTGATAAAAATTGTTTGCTTGGGTGTGTACTATCACCTCCTAAAATTTTGCCCCTCTTTTTAGAATCACCCTGTATACATAAGCTGAAAATGATTATGATAAGCCGAATTATGGTTTACTTCTAAATGAACTGAAGATACTTGTTATAAACGTTAAAAATGGTAATTTGGAAATCATTTTTATTCAAAAAAAAAAAAAAAAAACTATTTTTATTTAAAAAGTTCGGTATGAAATACTAATGTAATATTTAACAAATGCTTATTCTTCTCCTAATTTGTTCAACATTCAACATATTGTTTTTAGAAATATATTTTCATTTAAAAAATGCCATTTCTATTTAATTGGTATTTTACTTCAAATAAGTTAATAAAGGAAATCGAAAGGTTATATAAGATATGATTTACAGGTTGGATTTAAATATTATCAGAGATTATAAAAAGTACTACTAACTAGAAGTTATAAAAGTATTCATTCCTGGTTATAAAAAGTACTAATTCGCGAAACCTCTTTAACTCTCCCTGAAACCCTCAAGTTCCATAGAACACAGTTTGGAACTGCTTCTTTAAGGTATCATTATACCAAAATACCTACCAAACAGGATGGTAAAAAACTATATTTTTAATATGTTAATTTCATGAGAAATCATAACCAAATCGTTACGGAAAAAAACTACCCTGTTTTTTGGTGCTTCCATAAATATCGTAAATTTCACTATATTCTAATAGTTTTGACTATACTTTCTTTTCTCAGTGCGGTCAGTACCACATTTCATAAAAGGTACTGTATTGCCGCATGCAAACAGATGTGTTTTTCAGAGGGCCTTCTATTTTGACACTACAAATTCTTAAAAAAAAAATAAATAAAAAAAAATTCCCAAAATTGAAGGAAAAAGAGCATGTGTCTAAAAGATTTACATAAAGAACATATCTGGACATTTTCCACAAAATCAAGAATGTCAAGTATCCAAACTACTTAATTTAATTTATTAAATTTAAAGAAAAAAAAATGTATCCACAAGGCAACTGTGTATATTTGGGACTGATGATTATGAAATCTAACACAAAACTGTGAGATCGTGGGTTCTATTCTAGCTGATGCTAGTTTTTAATTATTATTTCTTAATACTGAAAAATGTTTTCTTACTTTTTTTTAAAACTATGCATGTTAAAAACTATCAATTTAACTATTAATTAAAAAACTAGAAGGCTCCGCCCCCTGTTCATTTTGCTCACTAACCCTCCTGGTTGATTCTCACGAATCATTGCAGATTAAGAGAAAAAATTACGATTGAATTGCCACTTTCATTTCAAAGATGGCTAATTTTAAGCAAATCAATAAAATTGGTACCTCCGCAGAGTTATTACTCAATGAAGATGAACTCAAGGGACAGAGCATTCGTCTTCGAATGAGGTGCACCGAGTTCGAATCCCAGTGATGGCTGGTCGACATGAATACCACACCCGGCTTACACCTATAACTGTACTCCTAAGTGGTAGACGTATCATGGGTTAGAGTCCCCTTGCTGTCAGACTAACCGTGGGAGGCTTTCGTGATTTTCCTCTCCATGTAACTGAAATGCGGGTTTCAATCAAAATGTCCTCCACAAAGGCAAAAATTTCTTCCAATACTTGATCCTAGAGTTCTCTTGTCTTCTGGATTGGGTTAAAAATTACAAGGCTAGAGAGTTGAACATTAGTAGTCTCTAACTCGAAATTGGATGGGCTGTTCAATGACTGTTATAAAATAAACTAATAATTTGCCGCGATAGCTTGGTTGGTAGGGCTATGGACTCGTGAGAATGGGAGTTCATTTTACATATTTTAATCTAAACTAAAAAAAATGTTTGAATGCTATCCCATTTTAATTTTATTTTGCTATTAATAATAAAGCTTGTGGGAGAAATATAAATTGCTAACGCAAATATATTTAATATTTTTTAGCTTCTTTTGATGTTTATTGTATTTGATAACATTATTAAAAGTTTTGTTCTATACATCTTTTTATAAAAAAATTATTTTTCAGACATTTGTAAGCAAAACAAAGTTTATGGGAAAATTCAAAAATATACTTAAAAATTTTAGTTAAATTCATCAAACAAAAAAGATACTTCAGATTCTTCGGAAAATCAATTTTTTAAAAAAATTATTATTAGCTGCAAAAAAAAAGCATAATACAATCCTCTTAAAGATATTACTAATGCCATTTTGTTCTATAAGGGTTAATTCAAAATGCAGATACAATTTCTATGCTTGCACAAAAGCAGAAACTTCTCATTTCACATATTGGATAGTATATTCCAAAAGATTCAAAATAACTTAAGATTATTCTAGCAATTACATATTGAAATTAATTATCCATGTTTATATTAAGCATTTCAAAATTGTTTTCTAGAAAATTGTTCCAAATGCACCTATATTTACCCTGCTATGTGACAGTGATATTTCTTCATCAGAAGAAGATGAAATTGAAGAAATCCCTACAACTCATACAATATTGAAAACTTTGTAAAAACCTTATAACGTATTCTCTTGTTCATTGTGTTCTTCTATTTATAGTGTTTTTATTGAATAAATTTGTTTTTTTTTAAAACACTTTTACTGTTGATTAGAAAAAGTTATATCCAGTAAAGGGAAAAATTAGCTAACTTTGATAATTATCTTAAGTTATACTTATTTTGTTATTATATTAAATAACTTTTGGTCTCATCTCGCATTCTAAGAATTTCACATTCTAAATTGCAAATCTTGAGAGTTCTAGAGACAAATCCGAATCATGCATATTAATCAAATAAAGTTTCAATAAATTTCTAAAATAGATAACAGAATAGACAGAAAAATATTGCCAATATGTAAACCTTGGTGTTTTTTTTTTAAAAAAAAAATGCTCTCTTGAACAATAAGAAAAAGTTATTTAGTTATTTAGGAGTAACTTTATAGAATCTTTCATTTGTGTTGCTTCTATTATCTAATTAAATTGAAGCAAAATAAATATAAGTACTTAGTTTTTTTTAAATTTTCACTTCTGAATTTCTTGCTTAAAATATTTCTTGAAATAAAAGAATTTTTCAAAGTAATGAATACAAATTAAATTGACAAAATAATTTTATTTATTAATTTTTTTTACAGATGAAAATAGCAAAAAACTCTTTTAAATACCATTTTAATTATATATATTAAAATAGTGTAGCAATTGTAAGATTTGATAAAAATATGTATTTATACAAATGTGAAACTGACATAAAAGCAAAATTCTCACAATGCAGAATTGATATGTTAGTAATCAATTTTAACCACCAAATTATTATTCTACATAGAAACTACCTTCTTTGCATTGCATAAACCTCAATAACACAAATGATAAAATAAATTATACCATAACTATCTAACAGCTATTACTTGCAACACACAACAGTTTGAAGTGACCAGTACCCAAAACAATTCTCTAGTGATGCATAGTAAAATTATAAACTTTCACATAGGGATAAAAAAATGCAGCAATAAACATATTCAATAATTGTAAACATATACTGAAATATAAAAATCAGAACTATGTTTCGTACTTAGCTAACACATTCCAGCCTCAGTAAAGCACTCTGATTTTTACTGAGATCATTTTAAGATGCCATATAATTGGTGGGAGGAAGTAGAAGAAGAATTACATTATTTTGATTATTAAAATTTTATTTAACTCATTAAGAGATAAAAATTTGCCTTAAGTTATAAGTTAAAATTGAACTTTCAGAAGATCTTTATTACTTTTTAAATCACCGGGAAAAGTAGCTTATTCAAATATCAAAGCCACTTTCTAAAAACTCATTTACCATGTCAATGTTAGTTAAAAGAATTAATATATAGCTACTATTTCAACTGAATTTTGTCAGTGTCTCTCCCTCATCTGGTTAAACTCTTTTAAAGACTGTGATTGCACAATTCTCCTCTCACTGCCCACTGCCACAGTAGCATATACAAAACGAGTCTTTCTGCCTCTAACGGACCAGGATCACACAGATGGTACCTCAATTCTGTATTCCCAAATCAGTACTCTTTTGTATGTATAAACTTGAAACGTGTGTATCTAGAGAAGTGTTACTTTCTCCATTCATTGGCCCTGAAGGGATTAATCAAGAATTCTCATGTTTTAATTTAAATTTTGAAATATTACTAAAATAAATCCTTTGAAATAATATTACAAAATGAAGTAAAATTCTAATATGAAGTCATTTTATGAAGATGAAAAAAAAAAAATTATTATTCCATTTAAAATAATCTCTTTCAAAGTTTAATTTTTTTGGAAGAGCAAAATCTTCAATTTTTATCTATTTTAGAATTAGATCAAAAATATATGTAATTTTTGTAAAAAACTTATAATGGTATGCAATTTAAAAATATGTTACACCTATCTAAAATTAATGTTTTTGACTGATTACAAATTGTAAATTTAAGAACGAACACACAGTTTTTATATTCAAACTCAAGAACAATCTAAATCAGTATGGGTTTAAATTAAATATTTAATCTTATTTTCTTTCATTGATTATAAAAAATCCCAATAATTCCTAATTTCTGAAATATTTCAGATCATGTACTAAGGTAAGTTAATAATAATTTACAGATGTGTTATTAAATTGTCTAAATAAATACTTAAAAATCAAATTTATTTTTAAAAAAATTAATTATAATAATTTTTTCAAATTTTCAGCATTTTATACGTATTAGTTCTTTTTTAGTACTTTCTTATAAAGCAGTACTTTCTTATAAAGCAAAGTACTTCCTTATAAAGCAGAGTAAAGAATTTTAAATGAAATAATAGAAATTTCTGAAACAATAGTTATTTACACTTTCACCCTAAAATTAATATATAAATTTTTTTTTAAGTATATACATTTTTGATGTCCAAGCTAATTTTATTTGCTGAATTATTAACTAGCAAGTTTACAGTTAATTTAGCTGAAATATAATTATGACAAAGAATGGTAATCTTATAAAATAATGATAATATAACAAAATATTGCAATAAAAAATTAAATTATTGAAAACAATCATTTTTTAATGTAAAGGTATATAAAGTTTTGTAGACATTGAAACCTTTTTACTTTAATTATAAAAGTGCTTGATTAACTTACACATAAATTAAATATATCACAAGATATGGCAAATGAAAATTTCCGTTATAGAGTCATATACTCAACAATAATAATTCAGTATACTCTGCATTAACATGATATAGATATGAATTACAAAAATTATACTATACATATTAATAAGTACAAAAAAAAATTTTTTTTTCAGTTTTTACAATATAAGAATGAGAATTATCTTTTTATTATTTGAATAACAAATTTTAAAATATTTGATTAGCATAAAAAATGCAATTTTCATTTAGTGCAGCGCTTCAAAAATATTTACAAATAAAGTGAGTACTAAAATAGATATGATGCAAAATGTATAAAAATATATACATGAAAATTTAAAATATTACAAAAATTCTGATTTCCCAATCTTCTTTCTTTGAATTGAGCAATTTTTTTTTCAAATGTGCTTCATTTTTAGGTTCTAAAATTACAAAAAATAATTATGGTTCAACAACTAACTTTTTATTTTATTTTTAAAAAAATTAAAGAGGTGCATTCAATTTAGTATCAGGTTAGAATATATTGAATTCTTAATGAACTTAAAGGTACAGTAAAACATAAAACATGAATAACAAAGGTGGATGGGTACCTAGTTGTAGACAAGTTTTAAATAAAATATTTATAGAAAATGAATTGAACTTATATGTTACAAGTTTCATAATTTTTCAAAGCTCTACAAAATTGAAATAGTATAACTTAAATAATAATAAAATTAAACAATTGCAAAAAATATTTGATTTTTTTTTTTTTTTTAAGAAAGCAAANTTTTTTTTTTTTTTTTTGGTATTCTTTTTTAAGCCGTTTTTGGTTTGGGAGTACATAAGTTTCATAAGTACATTCACATAAGTTCAAAGTTCGATAAAATTTTGGTACCTTGAATTGTATTCCATAGTTTTTGGATATCCAATTAATTTGATGATCCTTAATGTCAGTATGCAGAAAATATATTTTTCAAAAAATATGATTTAATATCCATAAGTTAAGAAAACAAATAAGTTTATAACTTAGATTATCTTGTTCAGCAGTTACCAATAAAGCAGTCTGATATCAGTTTTCTGTGAATGATTCTGGTAGCACAACTTTGATATGACACATTTTCAGGAAAATTACAAGACATTTAGTGGTACATTTCTTGCAGGAAAAATACTAAACATCCAGATTAAAGACACTTTTTACTCTTCAAGTGTTTTTGCTGCTAGAATTTACAAGATTTTGTGATTTCATTGCTATTTAGAGTTTACTAATGATATAGCTATTTAAAATTTGAGTCATTCTGTTTCTATAAAATGTTTTTCTTATAAAAATCTGTGCATCAATATCATTTTTGAAAATAAAGGGTTTATTCCTAAATAATGCATAAAATATTCTCTTAGTTTTATATACTACATATGGATTCCGTTTTCTTTGAGGGAAAAAAAAGAATGTTATTGTACAAGATAATATTTCTTCCGTTATACCTGAAATTACTCAAAGGTTCATCTCCTATCATACTCATCCTCTTCGTCATCATGTACAGTGCGCCGATTCATCACCTCATAAGTCCCCTAATTAAACAAACTTTAATTAATCAATATTTTTGCATTTACTAGTAAAAAGCCTATTTTTAATGGTGCCATTTAGTAACTGTGATTATACATTACTATGATAATACATTACATTACATATAACTATGTCTTCAAAAAAAGCATCTTATTTAAATTTTGTTCACAATAAAAGAAAAATAAATGAAAGTCATGGAGCATTACAAAATTGGATGAAGGAATAAATTATATTTAATAGCAAATTATTCCCTTAAAATAATCATATCATAAAACCTAAATCAGAACTTATGAAAATATTTGAGTTGTCAGAAAGCTCCTAACTAATTTTTTTATAAAATAAAGACATAAAAGTATGAAGAAAATTATATTAAGAACACACTTACTTAAACATGCCTACACAGTTATACCCATTTCTTTTGGAGATATAAATCTTATAAATTTTTTTCTAACACTGCAAATATATTACTTAAACATATTTTTTTTTAATTGAATCCCTAGAAATGATTGAATTTGCCAATGTTACATTAAAAGCTTAATCATTGCTTCATCATTCTGTATAATATAGTTGATCCTGTGAGTTCAGATGCTTAGTCCTATTTACAAGTTCCAGACTAGGGTTGGCAAAAAACCAGGTTTTTTGGGGAAAAACCAAAAAACCATTTTTTGGTTTTTTCCCAAAAACCAAAACACAACCAGTTTTTTGGGAAAAAACCATGGTTTAAACCATGCCAACCATGTTCTAGACTACTATTACTTACACTCTACTATATACGACTATTTTCTGATGTCCCTAAACTAAGATGTTGGGTAGAATTAAATGGAAAAAAGTTTAAATTATATCAATCTTTTTTAAATAATGGCCTTTTTAAAAATTTCTTTTATTATTGAAAAGACAATATTCATAACCATTTATTATTAAATCTGTGTATCTGAGATAAAGAACGCACGTCTATATTTTACAAAATTAAGGTAATAGTACAAAATCTAAGAGGATATCTAAAAGAATGACTCAACTGATTTCCTTAAAAAAATTAAAGTTTGTGACATAGTGCCAATATTCAGAAATAAATGAAACTAACTTACCTTAATAGCTCTGTTTGAATTTTGCCGATCTTGCATTATCTTCTTTCTTATTTCTGCCAAAGAGCTAAATACATTTTCAGGTTTCACAGGAGGAACTGAATTCATAAAAAAAGATAAATAAATAAAAATTTAGTTATTCTTTCTTACTCTAAGTTCAGAAAATATCTAAAAAATACTGTAAAACTAGTTAGTACATAAGCTGAATTATTTTTAATAACAAAAAGAGCAATCAATTATAATTAGATAGTTTACTAATAGAGGTAATGTATTTATTTCTCTTCATGAAAAAAGAAATTAATTTTATTTTGAGGTATACTAAAAAAAAAAATTTTTTTTTTGCTATTGTCTATAATGCCTTAATTTAAAAACTAGTACTTAGTAGCTTTATCAAAAAGCTGCTAGAAGTGTTATTATTCAACTTACTTCAATTTAAATAATGACTCTAGAACTTCCAAAGACTAGATGTTTTTTAAAATAATTTTCAATAGTTACAAATGCATTAAAAGTTTTGATATTTTTCTGTTAAATAAAGGCAAGTTTATTCCATATTCGTTTCTTTTTTTTTGGAGGGGGGGTGTCTATTTTGTTTTGTTAACAAAAATATGTGAATAAATAATTAAATTTACTTGTGTCTAAATACTTAATGTTTATTTGGCTGTACAATTTTTCAAAATGAATAACTACAAACTAAGTAGCGTTTATTATAAAACTCAACTTAAAACCCTAACTTTTCATGCACATCTACTTAAAATTAAAAGAACTTTATTCAAGTAAAGCAAATTAGGTAGGGGTATATACTGATTGAATATTACTTTTAATGACACAAGAGTCAGATTCAGTTATACTGCAACAAAAGCTACTGTGCAATGAAATCAACCAATATTACAGAGTCAGGTGCAAAACCAAAATTAGACTAACAAGCAAATAAAAAGAAGTAATATTAAAAAAAAAATTACGTAAGGATCACCTGTGCTTACTAGAAAAAAGACAAGCACCCTGAAAAGTCAAAAGGCAACTAATTAAATTACATTTCGATTATCATTACAACCCCAGGTGGGCCTTGGCCTTCCCTAGAATATTATTCCACACAGTTCATTTTGTAGCCATATATTCCCTGATCCATATCCTGCTTGTTTTAAAATTTGTATTAATGGGATCAAAACATTGAAGTTTTGGATGTTCTCAACCACTCCTAACAATTAGTTTATGTTTGAAAATCTTATGTGTTAGTCCAGTTGTTTCTAAACTGCAAATGTACTAAGCAAACCTCAATCTATTTAAATTTTATTGCATCAATGTCCTTAGAAATTTTACAATTGTCTGTATTTGTTATCCTTTTGTAGAAGTCGCCCTACCTCTAGTTAATAAACAGGTTTAAAAAAAATTTGATACTCCTGGTTTATTAGTAGGAATGCAGTATTTTTAATAAACTTTAAAAAAATTCCAGATAATTTTTGAGCTATTTAAGAAAAAAAAATTTCAATAATAAAAAAAATATTTCGAAGGAACATAGAATGAAGATCATAAATATTTATTTTCTTCAAATTAAAACTTCAGGCTATAAAAGGTTAGAATGTACTGTTTCTTTCTCTTTTCACAACTGCCAGTTATTTAAGAGAAAAATACAAAATTTTAATACAATAATCTAATAACTTAGTGCATTATTTTGCATTTTATACTGCCAAATGATATATGATAAGTATTTTTATTTTTGATTAAGTAAAACATAATAGAGGTATTTTTTTGATAGATAACATATTTCCTTCAAAAGCTGAATTTACCATAATACCAATTTATGATTTATAGTGCAATGACTGAAAATAATCACTTACCTTCCCTCAATACTTCAGGTGAAGTAACTCTTTCAAAGATAATTTTAGAACGGACTGCAGGTATTGGAGGTGAAGACTTTCGATTTTCCACACTTCTATTTATCTGCAATGAAATCTAAAATATGGAAAACAATCTTCGGAAGGATCTTTTACAAAGACAAATAGATGTCAAAGTTTTAATTCACTAAAGTGTATCTAACTATTTAATTTACCAACTCCACACAAATTTTATTCAAATTTAAATTAGAAATTTATGTTTTGAATGTAATTTTTAAAAAAAGAAAACTTTTTTTTAATATACAGAAACCAGGGGAAACTTCTGAAGTGCAGTAAATTTTGCAGCCGTGCTTTAATGATTTTAAAACTTTTTCAGCTATTTTTCTTTCTTTTATTCTTTCAGCTGTACCTTTAATGGGGAAAAAATGAAAATTTTAAGTAAATGCTGCTGATGAGAAAAAAGATAAAATTTATAATTTATGATAAAAAAGTGAAAGAGGAATTTTAATCACATCAATATTTTCCTAAAATAAATTCAATTTCATTATAATAACTAAGATGTTAAGTTTTATCTTTCACATTTTAAATATTATATCAGAAGCTTTAATTTAAACCACATTGAAAACCCTTTTTAAAAAAAACTTTATACATAAAATGTCAAACTCAATGAAAACAATGTTTATTTTAAGAAAGGAATGGAAGATAGTTTTTTCACTTAACTACTAATGATTTTCAGTAAATCAAAATTTTACTGTGATTTGTAATAAATCGCTTGAATGCTGATTACAATGTGCAATTTTGAATTGCGTGAGAATAAATTGCGATGTGTGATTCTAAATTATGTGAATACAAATTGGGCTGCGTGACTTTTAATCATGTGAACACAAATGTAAAGCTTGTGCAAGATTCTTTTTTAATTGTTTGAATATGAATCTCGATGAGTGATTGTTAATTTGTGTGAACATGAATCACAGTTCGTAATTTTAAATTGCATGCATTTAAATTCCAATATGTGAATGAAGTGCAAATTTTTGGAAATACGAATTTTGGTGTGCAATTTTTAAGTTGCAAGAATACAAACTGTGATACAAATTACACGAATGTAATTTTAATTCATGCTCTCATAAATTGAAAAAAGTGTAAAAAAATTATTCGGGAATTCAGAAAGAACGGAAATTTTCTTTTTATTGAATTGGAAAAAAAAGAAGATAAAACTCATTTCTGAATTTTTATCTTTCTCAGCCACACATGCATTATTATCAATTATTTTGAAACTGTTAATAATCCTACTCTACTTCAAATCATAGCATAGTTTTGTCAAAATTTCAATCAGGATTCATTAATTATATTTTTTTTTTGTATAGCATCTTTTTTTTGTTTTGTTATTATAAGGTCTGTCTTGGTCTAAGTAACAAGGGTCATTTTAATAACTTCAATCCTCTACTGTAGTAGAAATATTGAAGAGCAATTAAATTCAGATTATTTAAAAAATATTAAATATTATTTTATTATTAAGAACATGGTATCACGCTGAAAAGCAGGTCTAATTTCAAGTTTTTTAAATATTAACTAAGCTCTGGGTATTCTCTTGGTCACTTACAAGTTAAGGGGGGGGGGGGAAACTATCATGCATAATTTAATTTTTTACATTTTCACTTGTTTGAGGTCTGCTTTCAACAGCTCTACTATTTTTGAGTTTTTGTTTCGTTTCTGCGTCTCTCCTCTGGAATTCTTCTAATTGTCGAAGTCTTTCCTGTTGCCTCTAAAACAAATAAAACGAATTAGAATGAATTGATTAAAATTTAACTATGTTAAAACCAAGTAAAGAAATTATAAATGTTAATCATTTTTAAGACATTTAGCAGGGGGAAGAAAAAAGTTATCAAGATTGCAATTTTGAAAATTATTATAATAGATTATTTAAGAGATTATTCTAATAGATCCTACTCAAAATGCCAGTATACAATGAAATTTCTGGGGAGCAGCCACCCTTTGTTAAACAAGAAATCAATCATTAAGAGAGGTAGTTGCTTCTAGAATTGTTAACATTTATAAAACGATAAACCCAACAATATTTTAAATTGATAATCGCATTTTGTATTTATAAAGAAAATAGAACATTAAAGATACTGTGATGCAGTGCCGTAGAGAGCTTAACTCGCGCCCGGGGCACAATACCTTTTTAGCGCCCCATAAGTAAAATATACTCGCAAAGTAATAAATAAATAAAGTCATAGGCTCAAGCTAGTCATTAAATTTGAGACAAAAAATCTAGTTGAGAAAACATGGCTAGATTTTGAAATGTATATGATCATCTAGAATTAGTTCAAAAGATACCTATTATTTATTTTACATATTTATAAAGAAATATTTTAAAAATACGCATTTTTAAAACAATAAAAAAGTAAATATTTATTATCTCTAAGGAAATACATATATTTAATAATATGATTATAATACATTAATAAAACTAATTACTATGTATAAATTTTCCGCTTTTGATGAAGCAAATTTATCAATATCAAAATTGATCATTTCAAATTCTTCTCTTTCCACACTTAAAAATACTAGGTCACTTAGGCGATCTTGTCCCATCGTTTATCGTAGATATGTCAAAATTAATTTTAATTTGCTGAATGACCATTCTCAGCTGGCAATTGATACTGAGATAGTCAGGAGTATTTGAAGTGCCACTCTCAGGTTTGGAAAAACATCTTCTCCATACGGGTTCATAAAAGTAAGAGATTTTAATGGAGTTTTAAGTTCAATTTCTTTTCTACTGCGGAGTAACATTTTGCAGTCACATACTTCGATAAAGAGTTCTATTCCATTGAAATCTGTATTATAAAATTCACCCAAATTTTAAAAAAAAATAATTCAATGTCGTTATCAACATTAATAAATTTTCAACATCTAGTAGAAATCCAAATTTGAAATTAAGGTCACTTAATTGTGTACATATTTCTTGTTGGATACGATCAAGAACACTTTTCATAACGCGAGAAATTTCACTTTCTGCGGAAAGACCGACATCTCTAGCCAATTCTCCGGGCATTTTGCGGCGTCTTCTTACACGTATTGTTGCATCAATATCCTATTTTTCACAAAGAGACTTCGCTTTTTCTATTGCCTCTTCACAGAGCTTGTCTCGAATTTCGGCTAGTTCAGTCGCTAATGATTCAAGATCATGGAACGCTTCTCTAAAATTCATTCTAGGATCTTGTAATCTGAGCTCCACACGATCATTCCTCCTTAAGATTTCATATCAGAAATGAATTAAAGTTATGAAACTAAAAGTTAGTATATTTTGCAACAGAATTGTAGCTTCACTTCTGGTGTCACTTATAGTGGTAGTGTCCTCTGCGAATTTTCCTTATAGTTCTACTATAATCGTTAGCCCATGGATGATAACGTTAACCGCTTGTATTCTGGCTCTCCATCGTGTTTCAGATTCATGTTTGACAGTCTTTGTTAAAGCATTGTTTTGTTGATTTCGAACTGTAGATGCCAGAAGATGGATGAATTCATTTTGAATCTGTGGTGACAAATATGAGACAGTTTTTAGAGTTTCTGTGGCATGTTTAAGATAATTTGCTAGTAGCGTATCAAACTGATCTACAAGTCTAAGTAAAGATAATAGGTTTCCTACATTCATACCATCTTGAAGTGCTAGTTTTTCAGCATGGCCACGTAGAGAAAGATTTTGTATAATTAAATACCTCATGCAAGCTAATATTCTTTGCATGAGGTATTTAATTATACAAAATCTTCCTCTACGCGGCCATGTAATATATTTCGCCACTGTTCTTTTTAAGACTGAATGTTTGCTTCTAATGATGCATCAATTCCCGTTCTACTTATTAATCTTCGTTCTGTTTCTTTCCAAGCCGTAAGTGTTTTTCGGTAGTTTTATCTTAATTTTCTACAGAGTTGATAAACTATCCTTTTTAGTTAAATTTAAAATTAAACTATGGTAGGTTGTTAAAATTAGCTTTAAGAGACGTCTTATTAATGTGATAGTTTTGACAAGCGTACAAAAAAGTTGCTGGTTTTAGGTTGTCTTCCAGATAAGCCATATTTACGGTAAATTAAGAGCTCTTTGTTTAATTGAGCACTGTTAACAAATTTTTTCATACCCTATTCACTGAATAATAGAATCGTCGAGTAGATGTAGTAAGTAATCTTATTTGTTTTATTACTAACCAAGAATGCCTTGAACTTGAAAGGTAGTAACACAGTGAAATATACACTATAATTTATGCTAACATTAAACTTATAACATTTCATTTTTATTCTAAGCAGAGCGCGATGACAATGACGCAAAACTGAAAAATACAGGCACAAAATAACTTAAGCGTTAATATTTCGGGTATTTACGTAATTTGTAGCGGAATTCCACAACCTGTCGCAAGTGTCACGGATATGTACAGTCACGGAAAAAAGTATCCGGAAAGTAACAAATAAAGAATCATTTATTTTTTGAAACAGATAATTCTCAGGCACACAAAAAATACGGCGTTTGTGTCCTTTCCTAGAAACAGCAAAACGCTGTATTTGTTGTGTGTCTGAGAAGTATCTATATTAAAAAATCGACAATCCTTTAGTTGTTATTTTCAGGATACTTTTTTCCGTCACTGTACATATAAGTACATTAGAGTGTTATTGTTATCGTTTTAAAATAACAAGCGTATGCTACTTTGCGTTTATAGAAATAAAAATAAATAGTGTTCTGAAAGAAAGAATGTTTGTACTTTGTACACTGTACAAACATACAAACACTTTATACACTGATGTTTGTACTTTGTACACTTCAAATATTTGGAGATAATATAAGTAACCACACAGCGTAGATGCTATAAGGAAGTGCTGACAGACACAGGTCGAGTCACTGTCATTAGAAAAGACGTGTCATTTCTATTATGAATATATTATTACAGTTTGATTAGTGTTCCTTTTTATTTACGAATTAACATTCATTATATTTCACTGGCACTAAATTTAAAATATATTTTCCAGAAATAAATTATAATAAAAAAAAAAATATCCAACAATTTTTTTTGTTTTGCTGACCATTTGGCGCCCCTCTGTGAGTAGCGCCCGGGGCATGATGCCCCCCCTTGCTCCCCTTTCGCTACGCCACTGCTGTGATGTTATTTATTAATTTATGCATACTAAAGGAGTTGTTTTACAATGATATTTTTCTAAATTTTATACAGTTTCAAGCTATAAAGATATTTAATAGAGTTCATTTTTTTCCTACCAGATCATCCTCTACTAGCACTTAGTATTAGTAAAATCCAATGTGTGAAAAACCTTTACTTTTGCGCATGTTTTTGCTTACCATACAGAAGAGGAAGACAAGAAATTTTATTAACAGGGTGGTGGTCAATATACATCAATCACTCATAGTGGTCTTTTCTTGGGTAAAAAAATTAATAAAAAGATTGTTGGAAGTGGTGGTTATAAAAGTTTTCCTGTATAATACCTTAATATATTGATGTATAAATAATGTTTCTCGTATAATTGATAAAAAAATAAATTGACAAAATTAACTGTAAAGAATTATAAAAAATTACAAATTCATTATTTAAAAGGCAGAAAATTTATAATATTATATATATAATTATTTGTCTAGTTATTTTAATAAATTGACGAAATATGGGCAACAAACGGAATAACATAGATGCATTAAACATTCGTGGTCAATATCTCTTCTGTTTTTTAAGAAGGAAAAAAAATCACATCTCTAGCAATTTGTGTTTCTTATTTTTTTACTATAAAATATTTATCTTCTGAATTACATTTAAAATTAGAAAGTTTTAATGAATTAAATGTGCAGTTTAAGGGAATAAGGACAATTAGTGACAATGTTGCATTAGTGACTAGACAATTAGTGACTAGAACTAAAAAATATTTAGTATGCATTAAAAAAAACATCAAATGATGTGGAAACTATATTTGATGAAAAATAAAAAAAATGAAGATTCGAGAAACTAAAAAAGACTAGAACCCCTAAATCACTAGTGCCCTTAAGAATCGTAAATCCTGTATTTATTAAAAATAGATAAATCCTATAAAGAATAGAAGGTAATGAAATTTAATATACATATAGGTGATATGTCCTATCTATATTAGTTAATCAAACCTGGTATATCTGATTTTTCTACTAAGTAAAAACAATAACAAATCTTTTTGTTTGTTCTCCTTTTTTAATATGCTTTTTATTTGCAAAAATTTTAAAAATCAAACTTTCTTTCAACAATTGAAAAAGAGAATATTTCAAAGTTAAAAAATTTGACAATATTTATGTTTGAATAATACTAACTTGTTCTTTAACATTATTGTTAGCTTTAAGCTCATTTTCATATTCCATCTGCATTTTCCGACGCTCTTCAGCAATTCTTTGAGCAATTTTGTTTTCCAATTCTTCAGCTTTTAGCTTCTCCAATTCAGCAAGACGTTTCCTTTCCTCTATCTAAAAATATCTAATTGTCATGATATGTAAAAATATGTATTCATCAAAGTTTTAAATTATAAAATTTTTACGAGAACAAAGTCATACGAGAACAAAGAAATAAATTTGTGTATATTAAGGAGCAGTGAGAATTTTTTTTCTTTGCTTACATGAAAGAAAAAATTAAAAAATACAGATATTGTCATTTTTTTCCATTTTCTTAACTTAAAAGTATATGCCCTAAACAGAATTACGAGAAGAAGAAAAAAAAACAGTACATCAACATATTAATTATGTAATGTTACTATATTTTAAAAAATGAAAGGAAAAAATTCAGTTTTATAAATATGCTTGTAGTTAGAAACATATGAAAGTTATTGCAAGTTTATTTTGAAAAAATTCACCGCTGACTAGTCCTTTAATTTCTGCTTCTGTCTTTTTTCATATATTTTATAAAGCATACATACAAAGCTTGCAATATATTCATAAAACTTATATATAATTTGCTATAATATAAAATAGTAAGCTTCAAATGGTCACCAGTTCTTTTGTAGATGATATATGATAACCTCTTTTTTTTAAAAAAGCAGTTCACAAAAAGTTTAAAAGATCTGCTAATCAATTAAACATTCAAGATTACAGTTCATTATTAGTATTCCATACATTTCTTATTTCAACTTTCCATTAGTTACAGAACAAATTGCAAGGTTTCTTCATTGACATAATAAACTGTAAGGAGTAAAACATTTTTCATTTTGTTTGTAATTTATAACTTACAAATTCTATAAAAAATTTTACTACAGCATTGCTGATAAAAGCTAGCTTTTGCTTAGTAGTAATTAAAAAAAATTTTTATTAGAATAATGGTTGAGTTTCTTTCTTTTTATTAAAAAAGAGAATTTTGATTTGGTAGGTAAGTTTTAAACAAAAAATTCTTAATTCTATACAGTAATCAGAATAAAATGAGGTATAGATCAAACTGCAAAATTTTTTTCACTTACAGGATAAATTGAAAGCAGTTAAACAATCTTCATTGTGTTTGTAATTTATAACTTTTAAATTCCATAAATCAAAATAAAATAATGAATGCTAGGTATCTTGATACTAAAAATTTATAATAAATACATAATTATTCAATCCCAATAATTATTATCTCTAATAAAAGTGAAAAATTAAATGACAAAACAGCTTATTTTTAACTTGATTTAACAATTTTACTCTTATTCCTTAGAAAATATCATTTCAAATGTATCAGATATGAATAGCATTTAAAAGCATTAACATTAGATTGAAAATCGAAAGATTATTTATGCAAATGTTATCTGTGATGAACTAGAAGTAACAAAAGGTAAAAAAAAATAGAATTAAAAATTATACCTTAGAAAGAGCTTGATTATAGTTAATTATTCCCACTTTAAAGAGGGAAAAAAAACATTTGGACTATGTTTTATTATGACAAAATCTGATGATGAAATAAATTTTTTATGGGAATTTAATTGATAAAAAAAAATTTACTCAAAAAATGTTGTTTCTTTCTATTGGAAAACAGCAAAATATGTTTGTATACTACCATGCTACTTTAAAAATTCTCAGAAATGCTTAAAAAATGGCTAAAAAAATATTTACTATACAAAGATTTGCATACTTGTTTGGCTAATTCTTCTCTGTAGGAAGATTTATTGCTGGAAGCTTGATTTTGCTGAAAAGAAGGAAATGATAACATTGGTGCAGAATCTCGAAACCCTCTAGCAGCTGAAAGAAAAAAAACTCAATTTAATTTAATGTCTACAGAAAGTATTTTAACATAATATTAGTGTAACAAAATCAATAATGGGACGTACGTAAGTAACGGATACATAATTTAATTTTTATTACATAGAAGTGGTTAATTACTTATTAAATTTCCAAATGAATCTCTTACTGGTTCACCTCCACCTCCAGTTCTGTGGAAATGATTTTCTTGACTACTTAAAGGACGGTGTGGTATATACCTAAACATGGAAGACAAACGTTTTCAACTTATTGATTACACAGAATATGTTGGTCTCAAATTAACAACAACAACAAAAATAATAAATTGTTAACAAACATAAAATGAAATGGACTAATTTTAATTTAAATATTTTTTAGTCAATGGAAGCTTCATTTGCTTTAAAAATGAAAAAAATGTTTCTTGTTGTAGTACTCAAATTAAGTTGCCTATTCACAAGACATGTGAATGATAAAAACAAAGAGATTCGTAAAACAAAGCCTGTCAATTAAAAAAAATGTGAAGGAAAATAATAGGGAGAATATCTAGAAAAAATCACGGTAGCCAAAAATCGATAGTGACAGCAAGAGGCAAATCAGGATCGAACACATTTTCATGCAGAATGTAGAGCTGGAGAAGAACTGATATAATTTATCCCTGCATAACACACGGAAAAGTATCATGCCCTCCTTGGCTTCTGCAGTTTTTCTTTTCTTCATGTTTTTTTTCTTCTTACAACTAATGTTACGTTTTTTATTACCAATATGTTTTATTTTCATCATTCATATGTTTTTTTTTCTTGAAAATTAACAACTTGTTGTGAGTGCTTTAAATTTGTTCATTTTTTTCCACTTTATCACTTTATTGTGAAGCAAATGATTCTGATTGACAATTACAGCATATGTTTGTTTAATTCTAAAGAAATATAAATATATATTCAGGGTGCGTAGCCAAATCTTTCAATAAAAAATAAGTACATTTTAAGTACTTTTTAAGCACTCAAAAGATATTTTTAAGCACTATATACATTAACAAAAAGCAAAATAATTTTCAAAGACTTTAGATTGATAAAATAACTAGTTTCTGACAAAGAACTTTTTTATTGATTATATTAGCCATTATAAAATGATCAAGAGATTTTTCAGTCCAATTTCAGAAGGTGGAAAAAGAAGCCTAAAATGGAGAACATCTTCCAAAATGCAGCAGAGTTGCACATGCAACAATCACACAATTACGCAGACTGCAACAATCACACAAAACCAAGCACAGTAGACGCACGTGTGGACAGACAAGTATTTCATCAAACATGTAAAATGATGGACGCTTTCATACGCTATGGACCGACAGTACATTGAATTAGATTGTGATTGAATGAATTGTGAAAACGTTGAATAGAATAATGTGAAAAGCAGGCTTTTGCATACTGCGTGGCGAAAATGGGCATGGTAAAGAAAAAAATCTCACTTTCGAAAAGGGAAAATTAAGCACTTTTTAAAAACATCCAATGAAAAAACCATCTTCAAGGGCTTTTAAAAAATGAAAATCAAAAATAAGCACTTTTCAAAAACGCTACGCACCACGATATTCAAAAGAAATATAAATATATAATGTATATAAAAAAACTAAGCAAAGTTGAGCAATCTTTTTATACAAAAAGCATGAAAAAGAAAAAGGAGAAAAGGAATACTAGTTCATAAAATGTTATAATAAAACATTTAAGTTTATAAAAACATAAAAATTTGATTTTTCTTAATTAAACTGAAAATTTAAAGACGTCATCCCTAATAAGAAATTCTACAATTTTAGACAATTAATTTTGCATTTAATTTGCCATTTAATAATTAAATTAATTAATTTAAGTCAATAACATTCAAGCAATTGAAAGAAATGCTGCTGGGTTTTGCAAAAATTCAAGATTCACTTACACATTTTATGCTGCAAAGTGCTACTTAAAAAAAACAGTACTGGACATATAACTATCAATTTATGACTTTTTATTGATTATTATAGAAATGGTATATTCCATACAAAATTTAGATTGCATAAATTAAAATTAATCAAATATGTATAAAATTGAAAGGTTTTTAATTAACAATTACTTATCTACTATACCTCCTTTCATAAGAGCCTGTATTATCATGGGTCAATGCAGAAACCTATTTGAAAAAGAAAACAATATTTAATAAAATAGCACAGTTACTTTCTAAAAAATTTTAATAAAAAAATTTTTACAAATAATTATTACACTCTAAATAATAACTCAAAATTATTCTTTTGAAAAACAACTATTATTGACTAGTCTAAATTTACTACATAAAAATGAAGGCTGTATTAAGAAAATGATAAAGAAAAATTAATAAGTTAAGCTATTATTATTAAATATATAGTATAAAATATTTTTATACGATCATTATGTATTATGAGCTTATTATGTATTGCATAAATATATTATAAAATATTTTACTTTAACCATAAATAACTAAACTTAAGTCAGTGTTATCATAGCTAATCATTTGACTCATAGACTATGTTAAAAAAAAGCAGCTTATTTTTTCTTATTTATCTATTTTTCCTTTACTTATGCCAAACAAAGAAAAGTAAGTTTAAGAAAAATGTTAAGTTTTTATTAAAATACAGATACATAATAAAAAATTGTAACAATAGCAATTTTTGAAAATGTTAAACTGCTACAGTAACATTTCCAACTTGCAAAACTGCAAAAGTCTGCAGTATATTTATCAAAAAAAATTTTTTTTTTCTATATGGGTGTTAATAGTTTTGAACAAAAGTTTCAAGCTGTTAACAAATTTATTACTTAAGATTTTAATTTCTGTGTGGTTCACTTATATAAGGTCACTTTTAAAAATTTGTCATTTGGTTTGTGGGTCATGATTTCTACATAGCTGGAAATTCCTTTTACAAATGACATTAAATTTTAGAAATAAATGTAAGACAGAATTAATTTCAGAAGCACTTAAAAGTTGCAATGATTATCAACAATCTCATAAAATGATGAAAAAAATAATAAATATAGGATTCTTTAAAAATATATTTAAGTGAAAAAATACAGATTAAGAAAACTTGAATTAAAATATATTGAAATCTTGCGAACACTTTTCCAGGGCGGATATCTCATGTTATGGATAATATTGAAAGTCTAAGGCAATCTTCTATGGGTAAATAATTATACACTTTCTCTTAGAGGTGGACACAATTTCCGGAAACGAAAAATACCTTATATCTTAAAATTGCTTTAAAATACCTTTGAAACTGACACAATATTTAAATATTTATTAAAATAACTTAATTAAAATTCAAAAATTTTAGTTAAGTGAAACTTTTTTTTTTATGTATAAATCAACGGAGAAAGGAAACAAACCAATTTCTGTTTAAGGGAAGATTAACATTTTGAAACTCACATTCCTTTATGGCTTCTTACTAATTTTTTACTTTTTTGTGAGTTCTTTATTGCATGATTGCATTGTGCATTACAACAACTATTGTTTTTCAAGGGCTGAATGAGATTGAATGATTTGCAAGAAGATATTGCTGTAACACCAGTTAAAATGCTAAATGAATTTCAAACAAATCTTAACAGATATAAGGAAACAAAACCAGTAAAAACAAATATTTTAGATCTTTCTTCCCTGTTGGATCAATTTGAAAAATATTAGTAATGTAAGTACAACCTATATAGATACTTGAACATTTTTGTTCTCAATTTTATTATGATTATTTTAAGTTTGAATTAATATTAATCCACTTCTTTATCTCTGTTCAGAATATGTATAGATTTAACGTTCATATTAATTTAGTTAAAAGAGTTTGCAGCTTTATATTTTTAGCATGTCCTTTGTCTAAGTAAACAACTTTTCTTAACAAGGTGTCTGTTATATTAAGGATTCACTATAATTATTTTGGTGTACTCACCTTTTTATTATCTTCTACAATTGGAGCTGAGGTAATTTTCACATTATTTTCCCTAAAAAAAAGTATTTGCCATACATAACAAAATACATAATATACGTTACTTAAGATACTCCATATACTTATATTTCGTTACGTATATTAAGTATTACATAACTTAATATACGTAAATAAATTACCTACAAACAAGCATGTATAAAGGAAATATAAATTTTAAAGAATCAAAGAATTTTTTAACATAACCAAGTTGTGGTATTCACTTATGTTTTTATAAAATACAAAATCTTAACAGCTATACCTTTTCACTGGTATTAACTTTATTATAATTTTGTCATTAATTCCTTGTTCAGAAAGCTATAATTTTTTTTAAATAAATTATATCAAAAATAAAATGAATAGACAATTATGATGGTAAAAAAAAATAAAATGAGTAGACATTAATTCATATTCAAAATATTTTTTTTCTTCCAATGCCCACCCGATTGACACTCCTCATTCAGTTATTAGTAGCGAAGATTGGTTGGCCACTCTATCAGCAGAACCATAATAGGAGGGTCAACGTTGCTTCCACAGTAAGAATAGATAGTACAGAGAATAAAAGTACATCCATGCCTTGCCCGGGATTCAAACCCAGGACCTATCTTATGCGACGACGTTATCTCCCTGGCTACTATACAATACAGTTGGCGTAAATAACAATATGAAACAAGGTAAAATATACTTAATAAAGGTTTTTCCAAATATTTAATATCTACTCAAAATTTCTTGTTCAGTGTTAACAATTTTTAAATGTTTTGAAAGTTATAACAAAATTAACTGTCGAAGAAATATTGAAGTACATAGAAGAAATCATAAATTTTTTTTTTCTTTATTTCATTATCAAAAAGTTTATTATTGCAAGGTTTTTCTTGATTAAAACCTTACCTTGTTTAATAACTTAAAATTTAAAACAAACAAGCATTCATAAATAAAATATAGAAGAAATAAAATAACAGTAACTAAAATACCTGAGAGGAATTTTTTCGGGTGTTTGTGGTATTTTTGGTACAGTAATTTTTTCCTGAAAAAAAAGTCAATAAATTAACAAAAATTATATTTTTATAAGCTCATTCTTATTGTTAGCAGAATAAAAAACATTAAATAATATTATAAAGTTAATTTCTTATAACTAAAAGTATGGCAACCAACTTATCACAATAAAAAATTTTTTTTATAGGTATCAAAACTTTTTATTTCTTATTACAAGTTAACTATTCTAGACATCTTGATTTTTACACACTTGTTAATTTATTTTTTTTCTGACAAAAAAAAACTAAATTTTTTATAGTCTGAAAAAATTTACTCTAACCAAGGAGGTATTCTATTCATCAATGCACAATAGACTCAAATGAGAAACAGAGGATGAGTAAACCTATTTTCTTTTATCCTTATTCTTTTGTTAGTATCAAGACTGCACTATATTAGATTGGATTTGGAAATGAAAGGATTAAATGCAAATATATGCAATTAAGTTTCATGTAGATGTAAATGCATTAAATGTTGACATATGTATTCAAGCTAATTTATTTTAAACCAGCAAAGTTTTGGATGATTATAATATTTATACCTTACTGTTAGATTTTATGCGATCAGAGTATTTATTGCTAAAGTGTCTAAATGAAATTTATAATTTTTAAATCAAAAACAAAATTAATCTGCAATAAAAATAATAAATTAAAATACGATATTAGTATAATGAAAAAAAAAAACTAATAAACTTAAAAGACAAATTTTTTATATGAATGACTTTTATATAATCAATGAAGGCTTTTATAATATATAGCAATTTACTAAGTACAACTAAGGGGGGGGGATAATACTACCTACTGATTTAAAAATATTTCAAAAATAGAGAAAATTTTACAGATAGTGTGGTTCTAACTGGGGAAAAAAATGCAGAAAGTCTATACTTTAAAAAAACATATTTTGAATTAAAATTTCCAAAAATGCTACTAATAATACTCCAGCTTGAATTTCACATGAAAGTTACTAACATTTTTTTAATAAATTGCCTTTTTTTATTTTTAATAAATGATTTAACAAAAACAAATCAACTACACACTTACACTATTAGCAACACCATTACTTAGACTTGGTTCTGCATGATGTATTTGCCTATATAATAGAAAAATAATTATGTAAGTTTGAAACACATTTATGAGCAAAAAAAAAAAAAAAAAAAAAAAAAAAAAAAAAAAAAAAAAAAAAANAAAAAAAAAAAAAAAAAACAGAAATTACTGTCTAAGGGTCATATGGCTATAAACTTGTCATGTCTTGTGTTTAACAAAACTTTTTAAAATTTTTTTAAAAACCTATTGAGTCAATTAAAAAAAATGTATTATTTGTATACATAAGTGGTTAGAATTAATGTACAAGATTTCAACAGCCGAAACGAGCTGACTTGACATACTTTTTATTAGATTTCAAAAGATCAACAGAAAAAGTTAATTGATAATTTTAAAACAAACTTTTATATAAAATAAAGTTTTAAAAAGAAGTGAATGTTTACCATTTTTTTTAAAAATTTTCACACTGTATTTTTCAATTTCTCTTTAAAAAATGCTCATCTCGTAAACTTAATATACACGAATATTTTTTCTTTAAAAACATTTTCACACTTTTATATAAATAAATAACTTCAATTTCCATCTTTACTAATTTCTTTTTTTGCATCTATCTCATCTTTTTACCTCTTAAAAATTCTCTCTCGTCACTCCGGAGAATCTTTTCGGCTGCCTTTAAAAAATGTAAACCCCTTAGAAATTAAAAACTAATCATCCTAGGCTAAGAGTAAGGACCCAATCAAAGGATAAAATAATTTGACCAATTTTAATTGTTGAAGGGGAAATCTTTGAGCCACCTACATTAATCAAAAACGTCTGACCGAAAGTGATTACTTGGTGTCTTTTAATTAAGACTTCTCTAACAGTAAAAAATAGACAGGAAATATTAAAGGGGTCAGTAATTCCTCTTCCAATAAAAACATCTGAACAAAAAGAATTGCTTGGAACCCTTCAATTAAGACTTTTCTAACAGTCAAGCAACATTAAAGGAATCATTAAATCCTGCCCCAATCAGGTTTTCTCCAAAAATAGGATAGGACTGGAAATCCGTTGAATCGTACAAACCTCTATCTTAAGTACAAAAAGGCAAACAGTTTATTAAAAAAAAAAACTATAATTGAATTAAATTAGAATATAAATTAAGTTATAACAAAACATGATATTGTAACAAGTAGAAGTGGCGCAGAATACATGCATCAAAAATTGTCTTATTTGGAATTTTAGGGTAAAAAAAAAATGTCATTTCAAAATTTATGAAATATTACATATGATTAACTAAAAAATCACTCTCAGTATTTAATGACACACTTTAAAAAAAGGCTATTAAATTAATCAATAAGAAGTAAATTTCTGTTTACTTTTATTTTCTGTATTTTCACAAAGAAAAAATAAGTCGAATTTTCATTAAGAAACAACTTTTATGTAAAAGTGGAAAAACTGCATACTCTTAAATGGTTATCAAAAAATTTTAGAATTGAAAAAGGATTCTAACTATCTATAATTTGTATTAGACCATAGGGGAAACTACAGTATGTAACATTGCACTAAAGAAGTATTTTATTATTTTTATTTTATAACCGTCATTAAACAGCCGACCCAATTTTATGTAACTAAAGAACTATAGTAATTAGCTACTATTGTTGTTGCCATATGCCATTAAGACAAAGGGGGTAAGCTTCTTCTTGTTTTCCAGTTGCGCCATTTATGGCCAAGAATTTGACTTCTTCCACTTACATTTGTCACAGCTAGTTTATAGATTAGACACATTCATACATCCACAGATTGTAATTCAAACTTGAACCAGAAAAAGATTAATTTCCGATTCAATATCCGCAGAAGTATGATTTGATATGTAAATAAAGAGGACTTGGTGACCCAACAGATTTAACGCGCACCAGTCACAATTTACATCACAGGGAGTCTTCAAAAAGTGAAAATCGAACTCATGACCTCTTGGGCATGTGCCCAACGCCCTACAAACCAGGCTATCCCGGATCTAGTAACTAACTATTACCACCTGTGATTGAAATTGTTACAGAATAAAATAATACATGTGAATTAAACATGGGTTTTATATAAACAAAACTGGAAGCAAAACAAAGATTTGACAAATCACAAATTTTAGATACGAAAAAGAAACCTCTAGTTCACATTAAAGCAATGTAAGTTTCAAAAAAAGTTCAAACAAATAAAAAACATTAAAAATCATCCTTATAATAAAGAAGTTTTTAAAAGGATAACATACATTTCCTCTGGTATTGTTGATGAATAAAAAAAGATGGTCAGATATCAACAAATGTAGTTGTAATCAAGTTCAATTTATTACAATACACATTTTTTACTAAGGAATATAAAAACGTTTCTTTTTTCAAAATTAACAATTCTAACTACAATATAAAATTTCCCTTAAATATAGCAAATAGATTACCTAAATTTAAGTTCTTCTTCTCGTCGTTTAGCTAAAATAGTTTCATAATCAACAGACTCCATTACAGACCTTGGAGTTACAGTAGTGCTCATCTCTTCATAAGTTTGATGTTTTTTTTGTAATTCACGTTCTTTCTAAAAAAAAATTTTTTTATTCAGTCCTTACTTAGCAATTAAAAAATTTTACACATCGCTTCAAATTTAATTGAGAGCATTGGTGCAATATCATGATAAGCCACATTTGTTAAAATATTCAGAACTTATTCTATTCTTCCTATACTATTCTTACATATTCTTTTTGGCACAAAATACCATTAACAGTAAGGAAATTTATGTTTATGTGCTGCCATCTAATGAAAATTTTTAAGTACATTTCTATAAACAATAATAAGGAACAGTTTGATATTATTTTGGAAACATAACTACATAGCCCCAAGCCCGCCAATTATTAAGTAAATTCATTGTCTTTCTACAAGTTCACAATTTTACTGAAAGGGCCTTATAACTATAAACTGATGTAGTCCTAATATGTACTTATTTTTCTGGTGATTTAATACAAATTTGCACAAAATTACACAATTTAAATTAGTACTTTGCTCACAATATTAAAAAATACTCAATTTTATCAAATCATTGCTTTCAATTTCTTAGACATCATATTCTTTAGAATAAGAAAAATAACAAAAGAAAATTTAAAATTTTATTTATACTCCAGAGAATTAGCTCCAAAAATTCAAAAATTTACTTTAAAAAAACATGTCTTGTTTAATTGAAATAGCATTTTGATGAAAACACTTTTTTTCACCATAGTCAAACTATTCACACAAAATTTAAAATAATGATACTGCTTTCCTAAAAATACTAATTAATTACAGATAATAAAAGTAAAAACTATCCTCTTCTCCATTATATTAATTTGATTATGCACTTTAAATAGCATACCGTTCCAACCCGTAACTTCTATTTTTATTAACTTATCATGTCAGTAAAATTAATATCTTACAATTAAAATTTTAATTACTTTCTGATTGATAAATATATAAAAATCTTTATTGCAACTTTTGTCTGAAGGACAATTGAAAGTTCAATCATTTTCTGACAGCCAGAAGCAGAATTTAACTTAATTTTCATGCTTTGTTAAATTTATAGTCAATCAAAATTTCAACAATTTTCCAATTAGGAGGGCTCACTGGAGTTCTTTGCCTGAAGCTAATGCAAGTCCCAATTGTTTCCTAAGCAATGCAAGAAAAAAAAAACAGAAAATAAATGGGAAATTAATCTTGTTTATAGTCTCTTAAAGCTTCTTATAATACCTTTGTTGGAATTAAAATCTAAAGAAATTGCAAAAAAATTCGTAGTAAATGGTCTTACTTTTTCCAAATAAGCATTATACTCGGCTCTTCGTTCAGCAGCAAGTTTTTTTGATTTTTCTTCTCTATCTTCTCCCAGCAAAAAACCATTATTATTTGATTCTTCTTTAAAAAGGGAATCAAGTACACTATGATTTGGCAACTAGAAAAAAATTTTTATTTTCGTAATAATTCATGTAATAGAAAAAACCTACATTAATAACCAATCATATTTTTTAAAATAAGAACTGGAAAAAAAATCATTTTTAATTCTTTATTTAATTCTTTGCATGGCTCATCCATGTCCATGCCAAGAATGTCATTTTATTCCAGAGATAAAATATTTCGTTTGGAAATAGGTCTACACAAAGACTTAAAAGCTGAGCTTTATAAAAATTTTTTTATCAGAAATATAACCAGGAATTATCGATATTTTTCGATACATCGCTTTACTTTTCCAATTAAACGAATTTACGACTTTTTTTATCGGTTAATATTCTAATTACTTTCTTGAAATTAATCAACATTATAATTATGAACATCGATAATTATCATTTTTGATAATGATAGCGATATTATATTCTATATTACCATTGCCGATAATTCTTTACGATATTATCAAATATTATTATTATCATTAATTATAATACTTTATTATTTCGATATTTAAAATTATCGTTATTAATCGCGTAATAATCGCTGTCGTTAATTATATCTGTGATATTTATCAAAAACATGTCATTTACGATACATTAAGGAAATTTTTAAAAAAATCATTTAAGCAATGTTTAAAAGTTATCGATATTTTACCATTTATCGATATATTATATATTATCGCGATAATATCGAATTTACTATCATTTTATTAATAATATTAGCGACATTATCGTATTCGATATTTATAGTTGTTCATATTGATCACGAAATAATCGTTGGCAATAAGTATCAAACGTTTGATATTCATCTTAAAACAAGTTATTCACAATGTGTTGAGAGATGCAGTTCTTAAAATATCGTTATTGCGATGCAAAAAATACCCAGTAAATTAAGATTCATCTATATACTGTCCAGTTCTAAACTGCTTGATCCATTAATTTCTTCAACTTTTCTTTTGAGTTTACACAGTATTTTTGTTTGTGATATTCATGGACTATTAGAATCGAGTAGATATATTCTTTAGTTAATGTTCCAGATATTCTGTTTCCTACACTTTTATTCAATCCAAAATCTAAAATACGTCAGCTCTTTTAAGCAGCAAACAGTTTCGATTTAATGATAGACAATTGGTAACTCTTAAAGCTTATTAATTAAGATACAACTATGTATCACCATCTGGTAACTCTTAAAGCTCATGATCCAAAGAAACTCTGAAGACATTTCCTTGTTATCTTGAAATTAATTTATATGAACGTTTAACACTATAACAAATGCTTAACAAAATCGCACAAAACTTCAGAAATCGATGTTTAAAAAAAATGGGATCAATAAGTTGTAAGAGTAATGTGTTTTCGTCCCGATGTGTAATACAGCTTAGGAAACGTGTGTTTATCTAATCTATTTAAAGTTTTGCATTTTGCATAAAAATACCGTAATTCTGATAATTTAGACAACAAGATAAAAACAAAGCGTAAAAAATTTCGCATTAAAATACCGTAATTGATGGAGATAATTTAGACAGTAAAATAAAAATAAACGTAAAAAAAAAAGATCAAAAATTTTTAAAAAATGACTGACTAAACAAACATTAAACCGAATAGGATTTAAAAAAAAACTTAGTCGAACACGCTTAGTTATCACAGTCAAACACGCTTATAACGATCCCTATTTCACGAGACGAATGTAACGAAAAATCCGGAAATATTCAACTTAATATTTTTATAAATACTTGGAGCATAACTTGCTTTTAACGGGCAAACCCCGGTTTTAGCGAGCAATCTAGTTGTTATTCATAAAATTTCCTTGTATTTTCAGACTTACACTCAAGCTGAACTAATCCTTCGTTAAAAAATTCATTTAACATTCCGAAGAAAACTGAAATTTAATAATGAACTAATGAGTCAATAATTTCAGAGGACACGTGAAATTTTTCGAAAGCAGGACTGAAAATAATGTTTTTTTTGACTAAAAGTCTTATCTGAAGAAACACAGCGACACTAAAACAGTTCAAAGCATATTAATGAACTTTATTTGTGATGTAGAAAAATAAAAAAAAAGTAATAAAGTGGGTATTTTATTTATAATTTTTTAAGTTTGAATGAACTTTGATATTTTCACGAACCCGTCTTTTACGAGCACTTTTCAGGCAACGATTCCGATCCCTTCGCGCACGTTGTAAGCGAGTTCGACTACTTCAAATTTAATGGAAACAAATAATACACCACAATGAAATTTAGTCATAAAGACTTTCCAATTTTGAAATAATTGGAAATTACAGCGTTAATTATTGAGTTAATAGTTAAAAAAAGTTAATGAGAAATATCTTTTTGAATCGTTTAGTTACTTTTGATTTGGGGTTTAAAAGACAATCAAACCTTTTGTTTAAAAAAAAATATTTCAATCGGAAAATACCTTTGAAATAAAAAAAAGCCTGGCTTTTTTCCAACCCTGTCTTCAATATATGGGTTAAGGGGTACATTTTGGTTTTAAGTTGGAATCCCCCTTCTACTAACTAGGAATATATGTAGTATGTGGCTTTATTTTTGCTTCATTCATGTTGTATCTTTATATTCATATTTTTCTTTATTTATTTATTTATAAATACATTTTAAACTATTTAAATCAATAAACATACATATTCATATGTAAAACTACTGAAACGCGAACGTTTGAAAATCTAAAAAAATAGAATTAAAATTTCATAAAATCAGGACTTTAAAAGGAAAAAAAAAATAAAGAAATAAAACAAAGTCTTACTGATACTCTCATTGGTTCGATAGACTTGACAGCTTCATACTCCTCCTATAAAAAAATATTTATTTCATTTTAAGTAGACAATAGACATTATCTGCATAATTAAGCATCCACTTCATAGTACATACTGAATCACTGTAACTTCAAAAATACAAACAGAAAAATTTGATCAATGATGTAACCAAGGAAACAACCCCAGTGTTGTCTAAGCATAAGACAAAATTACCAAGTAAATAAATAAAAACAATAAAAATGGGTACGAAAAAAAGTAACGTACTGATTGAGAATCAATTTTTTTCTTCTTCTTGTTTTTAGTAGTTTTTTCCCTTCGAAGTTTGACTGTTTTGAACAGACATTTTCTAAGCAATTCACAGCACGTTTTCCGGTCAAGAAATATCTCTTTTTAGGTCATAATTAATTTCATATTTTATAATATTTCTAAATATAATGTTCGAATTCTAATTCGTCATAAAATTCGAAGCAATTTTCATTTTTATTCTAGCTGCATTAAAAATATTTTTAAGATTTTTCCAAAACTCTTAGCGCTATTCGTTAATTTTGTTAACTACAAGTTCCTTGAGGTGGGTTTTTCACAAAAATGCAATTATCAACAGAAAACGAACATTTTCTCTAAGACCACTGCTTCAACGGGCCGACATTTTTCTCTCTATATTGAAAAATTTTTTTTTAATAAGTAAATAAAACAAACAGTTTTTAATGCCGTCTCCGCTGTTTCAGAATTTTTTTTTTTCTGAGCGTGCTTTTTCCTGCCATAACTCAAAAACTATTAGATAAATAATCATGAAATTTTTCAAATATCTAGAGAAATGCTTGAAGAACAATTGGATACCAAAATGCTATAAAAGTTAAGTTTTGAATTATTTTACGTCGAAGTTAGAAAATGTGTAATGTGTCTCATTTTGCTTAAATTTTGAATTAGTTTTTGAACGTAAACATATTTACGGTGCCACCGCAACTGCTTGCTGTACTGTAAGAAGCTAGTCACGTCGCATCTACTTAAATGAATCAATTATATTTTTTGATTTATAACATGGCAGCTTGGTAGCCACAACAATAAATTTTAAGAAGCTTAAAGAAAATCGGGATAATTCGCGTTTTTAAAACACAATGAACAAAATAATAATGATAACATAACTTATATCTTTATTTTTAAACCGCGAAATAAACATATGGAAACAGCACATTGGTTGTACAATTTTAAGTGGCATAAGAAAAATGTACCAATTTTTTTTTTTTTTAGTTTTTATAAATTTTGAGTGCGAGACGTGACCGGAAGTTATCATACGATTTCAAAAAATTTTTTCAATCTTTTTTATGTAAGTGTACATGTACATGTTTCCTACACTACAGATTTCTTAAAAATAAAAACTTCGTTATGTATTTTTTTAAGGGGGGAGGGAACTACTGTTACCAAGTTACATCATAAAATATTTTACGATGATTTTTTTTTCTTCTTTTTTTTAAAATTCCGACTAAGTTGACAGGCAATAAAAAAATTTATATTGATGGTATTGTGTATTTTTCGATGTAAAGGAAAAAATATTCGGATAAAAATTACAACCTTTTCACAAATAAAATTAACAAAATCTTTTGACGTTTCTCGAAAGTTCGATTTAGTTTCGAAGCTATTGAATTTTGAAATTTCAGCGTTCTGTTACCCTAAAGGTTAACAAAAAAAAATGTAGTTCATTAAAATTTGACTCAATTTAATTTTGAATAGCTTCAAATTTGACTCAGTTTAAGAGAAATGGCTTAACTATAAATGGTGCCTATAGATGTTAGAAATTTCTGTACTTTTTATTTTCTTAAATTTTGTGTCATTAGAAAGAAGAAGTCAGCCCCAAATAATTAAACTATTAAAATGCTAAAAATATTTATATAATTTTTCAAAAAAATTTATAAAAAATAATTCCCAGGGAAAAAAATTTTTCTTCTTTTTTTGCAAATTTTAAGAAGTTATTTTTTAGAAAGAAGTAACTACTTTAACCACCTCAATTTTTTGTCTCTCATAGTGTTATAACATATAATTTAAGAAAAAAAATAAAAACTAGTAACTTTTAGTTAAAATACTCCAAAATTTTTAATTTCTAATTAATTTACATAGCTTAGACAACATTTAAAATACATTCGGATCTCTATTAAACAAAGTAGTTAAATCCCGATAAAAAGCTCGTTATATGAAAAATTCGTTAAATTGAAAATCTCCATTTGAAATACTTAAACACAAAACAGGTTTTAAATTCAAAAAACATTAGACATAACTAAACTAGCAATTGATACACCTTTATCTTGTACATTATTATCGACTACTATCGAATAGTTTCAAATGATCTTATCATATGAAGGATTAGTGATTTCTTCCTCACAATTTATTGCTGTATTGTTTTTATTTTTCACACTGTCCAAAATATCCGATTCATTTAATGTTTCTGTGGTTGCAGCTACAGAATCAATAAAAAGAGAATCATTAATCAGTTCATCATCGTTAATTTCGTGGTTCTCTCTTAGCAGTATCCACATTTTTTTAAGTTCTTCTAAAAGAATATCATTCTCCGCGTTGACTAAAAGAATTTCTAAGAAAGAAAGAATTTCTGTTACGCTTTCTCGTTAATTGTTATGCATTTTCGTAAATTGATTTTTGGCCTGTATGAAATGCAAACAAAAAGGGAAAGGGATTTTACTGCTTTCTATAAAAGTGGATGCGAAATTCAATTCAAGATCATTTATCCATAAAATGCGTTAACAAGTTTGAAATGTTTTAGGAAATAGGGAAAGTGGATCTCAAAGAAAAGTTAATTTAATACAACATTTACTTCGCTATTTGGAAGTTATTTCACGAAGAAATTTCCAAAATGTTCTTGGTTCCTCGAAAAAAAATCGTTAAATAGAGAAATTCGCAAAATGAAAGTTCGTTAAATAGAAGTCGGACAGTAGTTAACAAATTTAGTCGATAAAAACAAACCCGCGATTGGGCACTAATTTAAAAAACCAGAGTTAATCAGGGCTATTATGATCACCCTTTCAGTTTTTTCACATTTACTATCTTTCGTATTGACTTGTCGAAAATACTTTTTAAAATTTCCACCAGGTTTTCTTTTAGAACTATATTCAATGTAGTTTTTAGTTCCATATAGTTTGCTAACTTAGAAGTCCCGCAGTGGACTGATCGTAAAGACACGGTTCCCGGTAGAACACCGAAGTCAAGCATCACTGGCTAAGGTCAGTAAATGGATGGGTGACCACTTTGATCAGCCTGCGTAGGGACCGAGGGTGCGTGGTATCGGTCCTCGTTAAACTGTTCTACCGTAAAGTGCTCGATTTCGCGCGCAGGTTGTCGGGCTACTAAAGCAGGGGAGCCATCCTCTCTGCAGAGGAAAATTGCGATAGCATGTCTGCAGATCATTCTCAGGAATGTTTCCCAGACCGTCGCCAATAGCCCATTCTGCAGCTCCAGTGCGACGTAAATAAAAATTACCTACCAATCTAATATACTTACAATATTATGATCTTAAATATATTATATATTTTCACTATATTGCAAGTAGTACTCTTTTTTTTAAAAGCACAATAAAATGCAACATATTAAAAAAAAAAGTTCGGAAAATCAGGATTTAATATTTAATTAATAAAATACTATGAAATAAAACTTAAGTTCAATGGAAACTACAATAATTACACACATATATGCTATTAATGCATTTTATGAAATCGAATGATTACACTGGGAACAGTTTTTTCTCTCTTCGGTTGCACGAGATTTTCTAACAGATCTCAGATAGTTTCGTATCGCTAATTTCAAATCTGCAATCGGTATATCTCTCCTAGCTACAATATTTGTAGACATTTTTAGTCTATTTTTTTCCGAAATTTACAATTTTATAAATGTTATATAAAACAAAGGCTCGTTATATCATCAGGATGAAAATTGTATTGGGACCCATGTTCTGAAATAATATATATAATAATTTCTATATAATAATTTTTATTCACTTGCACTTTCTCTTCTAAGATAGCGCAAATATTTGAACTTGTTATTGTATAACTATATTTATTTTGAAAAACATACTTTTGTAATGCATACTAGGGAATGCCCCGTTTTTATTCTTCTATTCTCGAAATTACAATTCTTAAAATATATTCATTAATATTAACGGCCTGCTATGAAAAAAATACAAGGGGACTGTTAGCTGAACTTCATGTATTTTTTGGTGTTGAAATGGAAAAAAATAATGAAAAATTTCCATCACGTCACGTTTTCTTGAAAAATTCAATTTTACCAGAATTTTTATGAAAATTTACCATAAAAAAATTTTTGTTTTTGAATTTCTTGCCTGGCGGCATTCTATTTTGGTTAAATCTACAAAAGTATGACATCTTCCTATCGCCGTCCATCTCTCTATCACAATATCGTTCTACCAATAGCTTCAAGAAAATTCTTATCTTGGTTCGCTGACCTCTCAGGAACACTAGCAAGCGTAATCGGGAGTCATATTTTCGGAAGCATTTTTAACGTATGCTTTTCTCTGTGCGTTTCGTGAAAAATGGCTTCCAGCTCGAGACGTTGTGAAAATTTCATTACAGACTATGCAAGACAAATTTATCATGCGTATTTTGGCATGAAACTCGGATACCAGGACAAATCGTGGGCTCCTCATAAAGTTTGCGGGCAGTATCTTAATGATCTACGCTTATGGCTCCGAGGAAAGAATTTGGAATTCCTATGACATGGAGGAAGCCTAAAAACCACATTGATGATTGTTATTTTTGTACTCGATATGTTCGTGGATATAACCGGAAAAAATCAAAGGCTAATATGTTATCCTGATCACATTCCATCGACCATACGCCCCGCTATTCAAGGACATGATGCTCCTGTGCCTTTTCCTCCAACTGAATTGCCAGTTTTCTCTTCAGAGTGTTCAGACGCGGAATATCCAGAAGTTCAAGGCTCCGATATCGAATATAAGTCATCTGACACCGGGTCACCTCAGCCCTTTCCTCAGGTTGAACTAAATGATCTAACTAGA